TAATCAATCAATTCTGTTATCAAGAATCTAAGTAAATAAGACCTGTGTTTCGTCGAACCATATCCTTTTTTTCGCTTATTTTTATCTTCTTCGATATGAAATAGTAAGTAAAGCCTGGACATGTGACGGAATGTATAAGCAAATTGTGATAAACAAAGTAATTATTACCTAAGTAAATATCTAAGTAGTGAGTCATCTCGTTGAAAAAAAAACAACATTCTGCATTGTACATATTCTCTCTCTCTATCTTCGTCTTTCTTTCTCTTTCTCTCTATTTATTTGGCTAACATAAGAGAACCGTTTCGTTCTATCTCACATGATTCTTATAACAAAAGGTGATAACGAAATATCATATTTCGTAATCTAGTATCACGGATGTTATGTCTTAAAGGTGCTATAAAAAGACAAGTAATGTTTTAATATATAATTCTATAATATATATTTAGCATTTTAAATACCTTTCAAAATAAATGTTGTCAAGAAATCTCTTTAAATAAATATAATATCGAGCGCTCTTTTTTTCTCTTTACTTTCCCTTTTTTTTTTAAGAATTACCAAAGAATAAATTTAATTAGATTTAAAGTTATAACGCCTTCGAAGCCTGTCATATTTTTTTTTCCTAACCTAATATTTAATTTAATTTTCGTTCAGCTCGAATATATATATATATATATATATATATATATTTTATACGTTAAATGGTTAAATTATATTCGTTAAATTATTTCATAAAAAACGTACGTGAAAAAAACATATAACGCATCAATAATTTACACACGACAATAAATTTTTTTTTAAACCTGTAATGTCAAGTCCGACGCACTAAGCACGGATTATTGATGTAACTCGATATCCGTGAATAAATTTTTCACAAACCAACCATTCGCACGCTAATTCTATCATTTTTTACAAGGAATTTGCATACGTGCGCGTGAATACATTTAATCTTCTTTATTAATACAATATAACCTTCGTTATTTGAATATTTATTATATTTATAGATTTTAATATAAAAATTGTCTCTCGTCTGAACAACGTATTTGCTTATAAAAAAGTTTTTAATTTAGTTTCAGTCATTTCGTTCAATTTATATGTATCTAAAAATGATATTTTAAAATATTTAATCTATTTATTAAAGAATGTACGCAGAAAGTGATTATTAAAATATAGAATATAGAATATAATGATAAATAAATAAGAGAAATATTTTGACTTATTTAGTCATGTTGGTTTAATTGAAATCAAGGTCTTCATCCAATATGACAAATAGCATTATATCGATTTTTTTTTAATTTAAGTTATGCAAAGTTTAATCACGAAACGAAACACGGTTCACACTTGGACCAAACATATAGGAATATATAGTAGTTAAAAAAAAAATACGTTCAGTAAGCTGCTTGTTCTGCTGAACGCAGTCAATGATTCTACTGTACTTTAATCATTCCCTTTGAAAAAATTTGTTGAGAGAGGAAAAGAGATTAGAAAAAGAAATCGAAAGGAAGAAAAAAGACGAGACATTAAAAACAATGGAACGAGATAAAATATTTAACTCTTCTTTTTTTTCAGTGTCTTCCCTCTTCATTCGTCGAAGAATCAAGCGATAATTTAGTCCTCTAGTATTGAGGTTAAAACCGCCTCTTCATAAGTTCCGAAGCCGTAAAATCGTCACAAGTGTGCTAAGAGTCCTTACATACGCGAACAATGTAACCATAAAAGCGAGCTTGGGAACGAAAGGAATGGTCAGCTAACTCTAAGCGATGAAATCCATATTTTGCCGAATATCGATACCGATAAAGATTGAATCACATATTTTTTTTATTATATGCTACAATTTCCTTCCGAAGAATGATATACGAATGTATATGTGTTTCTACATTTTACTTTTTATAACAATATTCGTGCATAAAAACATCGAACTACTACAATATTTAAATTCAAAAAGTGTAATGAAAATAAAAAAAAAAAAGACAAGTATAAATTTTATTACTTATTGTTATTACTATTGTGCTCTAAACTTCTAAAATGATCAATTTATTTTCTAATTTATTTGAAATTATTATCAAAGAAGAATTATTTCATCAACATAAAATAATCAACATGACAGTCAATGTGTTAATAATAAAAAAGTAAACGCGCATAAATGCAAATGCATGCTAAAACGTGCTTTATGAAATCTTTTTCTTTACATAATTGTGAAGAGTGAAGTTTCATAACTCAAGTATATATAGGCATCAATAGACAGATGATCTAATATTTCTGTAAGTATTTTAAGATTGATATACTAATTGTAAGATGAAAGTGATCATAATATGAAATTAAGTTAATCGCTAGTAATATAAGTTTTTCTATTTGTTTAATACTCTTTCAACTGACACTTTGAAACAGTCTTTGTACCTCTTTTTTTCTAATCTTTACATTACCACATTATTTTCTAGATAAGAAAGTAACATATCGTATATAAAAAGAAGAGAAAGAATAACATTAAAGATGATTAACTTCATTTTACGATGTGATCAGTTTTATATTATATGCGAAAATATATCATAAAATTTATGTTATCAAAATGAAAAATAATTTTTAATGTACCTACTAAAGTACTGAATTATCTGTTTATTGACACAAATATATATTTAGGTTATGAATTATTACTCTTTACAATCGAAAAATTAAAAATATTAATTATACTTAAATATTTACTTAGAAAAGTTTAAAAAAATATAGATTTTATAAAATACTTTTACTTACACATAAATACACACACACATATATATATATATTTTTTTAATTTTTAAATAATTGATATAAAATACAACAAAATTGTTAATATCTATCCCTTCATTTTTCATCTTTCTTATTGTCGACAATACATGACGTAACCAGGCCACAAACTCATCGAGAATATTTTTCTAATTAAAATGATCTTCTTTAATCCCCAACGTCAAACGCTTCTTTACATTTTTATAGCATCTTGATTGAACCAAGAACTATGTTAAAACGTGTTAAAACATTTGTTTTTTTTTAATAAAATAGATAAGATCATGATGTAAGAAGAGACCACTCAATTGGATTCTGATTGGGCCATACTAATATAAATATAAATATCGTTCTATCGAAATTGATTGCAACCAGTCTTCACTTACGTCATGATTTTTTGTTTTCAAATCAATTTACCTTAAAGTACTTTTACTCTGCATTTTTCTTCTAGAAATTTTTAAGTAATCAAAAACATTTATTTTTTTTTTAGCGAAATTTTAATAACATTGAATAATTAAAAATACGTCATAACGCTTCCTCATTTGACTTTACGCGCGAATAGATACACAAAGCGTGTAGATGCACAAAGTGAAACTATAAGATACTATTACAAGCTGATCTAACGTTACAAACTCAACTGTCTCGTTAGAAATGCGTACAAGTTGAATCACAAAGTCAAATGAAAACGAATGAATTTTTTTTTTTTTTTTTTCCTAAAAAAAAAATTAATTAAAATTTGTATTAAACGCGAATCGTACGTATCCCGTGTATAACGGAATTTTTCAAAATGAATAAAACGTTGTTAGCAATGAGCAAAAAAAAAAAAAGAATAGATAAAAAATAAGTAAATAAATCATTAAGTTAAATCGTTATAAATCATATAGTGATCGACGTATAAATAATAAATAATAAATAATAAATAATAAATAATAAATAATAAATAATAAATAATAAATAAAAAAAGAATAGACATACCTCCTTTGCAAGGTATTCGATGTGTCGAATGTTGAGCTCGATAACCTGTAATCATTTCGTAATCACCGGAATCACGTCTGAGAGGAAAAGATGTCTCAAGAATGTGATCGCATGGTTCCATCAGCATTAATATTCCCTTGACTTTTTTCTTACGTTCCTCAACTGTTAGCCTTGAACGCTTGGCAACGTCTTCTACGAGCTTATCCTCGGCAATTTGACAAGCACGATGGAAAAAATACTCGACCATATCAAAAAATTTTGGATTTGCTGCATTCGGCACATCTTTTAAACGTTCAGGGATTTGATGATCGGCGTAACCTCGCATTTGCAGGGCTGCCGTAGCTCGAACGAGCGTGCCTTTAAGCACATCATTACTAGGTACTTGTTTCAAGCCGATCGGTGATCTCGTTAATTTTCTCACGTGGAACATTTTTCTTTATTCGCAATAAAATTTGCGATTACACCAAGCGATATTCGGAATATTTTCTTTTTTTTTTTTCGAGTGTAAGCAGTTACACTCTTTCTTTTTCTCTTTCTTTTAAAGCGTCCTCTCAGCGCCTTTTTTTCTATCCGTCCGTCGAATATCTTCCTTTTGTATTATAAGCAACAATCCAAAAACCAACTACAATTTTGAACAGACGTTTTGGATGACTTACAGTTTTGATGACTCGTTATTATTTACGACTTTCTTTTTCTTGTTAGATCTGCTTTTTTATCTGGTCTTTTCCCTGCCCTTTAATTTGCCCTTCCTGCCCGTTTACTTGGTCGCCTAGCTGAATACCTACTACTACCTATCACGCCTCACCTTTCCTAAGTACTCAGTACCGACCGACTGACCGTCTCATACGCTGGGTTTCTCCTTTCCTCTATCGATACGACGGTAAGATATAAGCACTGATCCATAGATTAAATTCCGAAGAAAGCAACTCGCCTTTTATAAAATTTCAGAATTGACTCAAGCGCCATCTAGTCGCGTATACTTAAGGACTAGAAAAATTAAAAATTAAATTCAATTTGTTGTCGAATGAACATGTAAAGTATATAATTTTAGTACGTTTTTGAATAACAAAATTCGATTGCCTTTTATTGCATTAAAAAAATTTTCTTGTATAAGAGATTACCTTTATACAAACATCAGTATAGAATTGCCAACTTATAAAAAATTATTTTTTCCTAAAAAACAATTCTTTTTCTCTCTTTTATTAATAATTTATAATAATTAATAAATACATTTATACACTAAAAAGGTATATTCTGCCTCTTCATCATTTAATTCCATTATTCAAGAATAAAACAGATAGTTCTATTCTATATATCAGTGTGTGTAATGAAAGTGAAAGTGTAATCGCCATCTACGCTAATTCGCGCAAAATTTAAAAGATTTATTAATCGTATAAATTATAGATTTTTATGTAAATAATGACATATTAATTTCTTATATATATTTCAATATGTACAATTGTTGGATATATAAAGTATATATTTCACGAACCGATCGTACTTCCAGTTACGTTAGTCTGTGTATTTTTCATATTCATTAAAAAATGATGTACTAAATGACAAAAGTACAATTTCCGTTGTATACAGATATATAGATCACAAACTAATTTATGATATATTTTATTCCTCTCTGTCCTTAGTTTTTCATAGAATTGACAATAACAGAACAATTTTTAGGTTATGAGTGATTAAATAAGTCATTATTTAAACGTTTTTTTAATTACTTAACTGCATTATTATATAGTATTGCCTTTTTCTTACAAGGTACGTTTACATTGTTTGTACATTTATTAATTCAATTTTGTTTGATTCCAACTCTTACTCATGATATATTTCTCTAATAATAGTTTATCAATTCAAAAAAGGAAATGTATCCGAAAAGAATTGTTAAAAAAATACCAGGGGATATACCACCACCAACAAAAAAAGAGAATCAAGGACATATTGACGATTTAGCCAATAAACCAAAGATAGAATTAGAAGAACTTCTAGATAGACAAAATAAAATACTAGCAAATAGGTGAGTAGTATGTGATACAAGTTTTATTTTAATATTTTCTTATATATTATTTTTCAGAAAATTCATTTCAATGCTTCCCGATAAAGGGGAAAAGATTATAGCATTTCGAGATAAATTATTAAACATACTCAATAATCAAAAAGAAATAGATAAAGCAGCTGTACTTCTTTCAAGACTGAATATAGCATCTGAAGGAAAAGCAGCAATGAATGAATTAGAATGGACAGGTTCTTATTCAGAGCAAATTCATAAAAATAAAATCATTGAATTGGATAGTGATGATGAAGAAGATCCATTAAAGATTTTAGCGCAAGTAAGTTCTATAAAATCATATTTACAAGAACACAGATATTTTTATCAATATTTATATAATAATAGCCTACAGGAACTGGTGTACATAAAAAAAAAATTATACATTTACAACCAGTGGAATCATTAATAAAGCCAGAAGACATAGAAGAAATTCAATCTTTTAAAAATGAAACATCTCCAGAACCAATACATGTAAAATATGTTATTGATAAAGTTGAAAAATCTCAGGAAAAAAATCTACTAAAAAGGGAACCGTTTAAACCATATAAAACTAGTAAGAGTAATGTTCATGATCCAGAGAAAGAGAAAGAAAGAAAATATACAAAATATTGGGAAATTACTGCTGCTACTCCACCTCATATAGTACATGGTGCTATAAAGCCTTTAAGTTTGAATGAATCTTTACAATTGCAAAGAGAACATGTTAAAAAGTTACAGGTAACAAGACAAATCATTTTATAAAGAAATCAAGTTATATTTTGTAAAAGATTATTCTATTTAATATATATATATTTTATATTGTTTTAATAGGAAATGCAAGCAAAACATGCAGCAGAACGATTAGCGCAACAATTAGGTTTGCATAATGTCGGTTATATACCAGAAAATGTAGGCGATTATCGTATACATAAAGCTATAAAGGACGATAGTTCGTCTAGTTCTGAAAGTGAAGAAGATGAAGTACATGACGATGAAGATAATGATAAAGGAGGGACTATCGTTTATACAATAGATTCTATTAAAAGTTAAACACAGAATCAATTAAAAATTATAGAAACGGAAACTATAAGTTTAACGTTCCTAAAACAAGTTGAAATATAATTGTACAGTTTGTTTCATTTTGTAAATAAATACTGTGAAAAATATTGTATATATAAATTTAAAAAATATTTGTATTTTAATATCATTAAAAAATAAAAATAATTTAATGTCTTATTTATTAGTTCTTGAAACATCTTAGGAAAATCTAAGAATATTTTAATTTTATTTTATTTTACTTAAAATTATAAATTTAGGTAAAGAAGAAAGGATAAACATTTTATATTTATAACTTTTATTTTATTTTAATTGTATATCAGTTATAGCCAAAATTGTTAATGATTTCTGTATATGGAGCTGCAGCTCTAGCAACAGATGCTCCAGCCTGTTTTGTGAGTTTCTGTAATGAAAAGATTAGTTAAATATATATTTGTATAATGTAAAATTAAATATATATATACACACACACACACATATCTTTTTAAATAATAATAACTTATCATTGAAAAAAAACTTACTTTGAGCTTGTTCCTCTTTTGAACCTCTAAAATGGATCTGACACGTCGCTTGTTTTCCAAAGTACGTACCACAGCTTTATATTTCCATCCGACTTCATGGGACAATCTTCCTACATGACAATACTAAAACAAAAAAATATTCAAAAAAATTGCAATATTTCGTTGCATTTATTTACAATATGTATAAATATTTATATTATTGTAGAACTCAGCTAAATATATCATCAAATCCGATAAAATATATCGTACTCAGGCGCAAATTACCATACCATCATTGTTTTTTATAAAATAATGTCATTGACAAACAAATTGCATGTGTAATAATTAGACAAGAACTTAAAAATATGAAACTCGTACACATCATATATCAAACATTTATAACGTTTATAATAATAAAAAATTACCTTTCTACCAGGTTTCAGACACATCACTCTCATAGCACCTGGTACAACAACACGTTTCCTGCGATCATATGGAGGTGGACACCCTTCATAAACTTTCAACCTTCTAAGAGCATCCTTACCCCTTTGCGTCTTATGTGGAATCATACCTGCAATAAGGTATTCTTATTAATAATAACTCAATAGAATCATAAAATTTATATCTGCATTCTTAAAGATCTCATAAATTATAATAGTTTCATTATATTATCAAATAATGTAGGTAAGATATATGTAATCATTGATATACATAATAAGTAACGCGTAGAAAATATTAATTATAAAGTATAGCTCTTTTATAAAATTTATAAGACATTAAATATACCTCTTACTGTCTTCCATAAAATTTTACTAGGTGCACGGAAATGAAATGGGCCACGTGCAGGATTGACGTTACATCTTTTACGCAAAAATGACATAAACTTCAACTTATTTCTGTAATCAAAAAGATATACAAAGATTATAATATATTTTCTACTTTCATCATGTTAGTTAAATGTCTATTTAGAAAATAATAATAATAAACACAAACCTGAAGAAATTACCAGAAATATTAAGTTGCTCGCTACGAACAACGATAACTTTGTTACCTTGCAAAATAGTTTTTGCAATAATAGCCGCTAAACGGCCGAGTAGATGGCCGCGGCCATCTATCAATATTGGCTAAAAATATACAATAACATTAATCATAGAATATCATAGTTTTTCTATTTTTTAAATAATATTATACAAGAAATTTATTACATGTTATGTTTAAATAATAATCATAATAATAAAACGATATTGACAAAATCCACGTGTTTAATACATAAATGAAAAAGCGTCTCAATAAAATATTACGAATATAAACACTTTGACATTTATCATAGAACTAGTTTTATATAATACCTATTAATATTAACACGAAAAGTTGTTTATCGAATATATGAAAACAATTAATAATAAATATTGACAAAAAAACAATCCAGAACGAACAATGTGCGCAAGATACGAACAGAACCTAACTTACCACATTTTGTTTGGTACGATAATATATTAGAGAAAATATTTTCGACGCACATCATTGTCTTTTTACAGTATATCTTAATTGACATTGACGAATAAACTTAAATATAATGTCTTATAATATTTAAATAAATAAAACTTTACTACGAACCTTTTCACTGAAGCCAGTCATTTCCACACCGTACCGGAAAAGATCCAACAGGCATAAGATGGTGTATAAATTCTTACCGGAAATTCACTTATAGAGATTTCTTGTCAATGTTACCAATATTATAAAGATACAATATTCTGTGTATACTTTTTGGTGAAATCAAATAGGTGAAATTAAATGAAATCAACTAAAAGGCGTTCATTTTAAAACAAATAGAGAATAAATTTAATAAATTCTATAGGACGTACGAGATGTTATACATTATTATTAATTGCATCGAAGCTATAGTTTAGTTCCACCAAAGAACGGATTACGCTACATATTTATTGAAGATTATAAATTTATAAAATATTTTGTATTATTATGAAGTTCGCTATTAAATTTAGAAAACAGAACATGCGTATACGTAGTTAAGAGTAATACAATTAAGCAATCATAAATCTATAGGTTATTAAATCAATTAAAAAAAAAAATCGATTGTTTCAATATTATTGGATGTAAAATTTGCCTAATAAAAGAGAGACATAACAATCTATTATCATGGAAAGACGTAGGAGAGGGAAATGAACGTATATGTATGAATTTTGATAATTTAAAAAAAATATTGATTATTTAATATTTAAAAAAATAAAATCGAAGAACAATAACAATATGTAAAGCTAACGATATTCAGGATCTTGTTGACGATGTATACTTGTTGAAAATTTATTTATCAACTTTAGATGCCGTCTGTTCATCGTATTGAATAGAAGGAATCATTGGTGGTTTGAAACCATATTCAACTTTTGATTGTCTGAAATTACCAATATCTCCTAAAGGATAACCTTCTGATTGTCGAGTATTTCTCATAATCCCCGGTACAACTGACTGTTGTGCTTCAACAAGGAAAGACGGTGAGGATTTTAATTGCATTCGCAAAGAACTCGATGACATTTGACGCGAATCCATGTATTTGTTTTTTGACGTCCTATCCTTTTCGAAAATTCTACCACGTCTTCTATAAGAGCGTAAATTTCCGATGGAAGCAATTTCTTTCGGGGGAACAGAATTCGAAGATTGTTCTAAATAATTGTAATGACCATTTTTATTATTATATCCCGTAGTACTTTCTCCAAAATAGAAGTTTGGCTTTTTACGTGCGTTTTCGTGGATCGAAGATGAATTTATATAGTTTCTATAAAAAGGAATCGACGAAACTTCAGCATAGAATTTCTGTAATGATCGATGAACTTGCGATGGTTGAACTTGATGGTTATCAATTTCTTCGGAATGTACTTTAACGTTTTCCGAATTTTTTCCGGCCTCGACAGGATAAGATTTACGATTAGGCTTTATTATTTTATTCTCCGAATGATCCGGAGAAATGAGTTTTTCAGTCGAGAGAGATGGAAATTTTATATGAATCGGATAGGGTTGCATGATGAATCTATGAATAACTTGAGGTACTTTCTTTTCTCCTGTTTTTTCAACATAAAATGCATACGGATTCGGTAAACGAGTTTGTTTTTCTATCGTCTGTTTGTCATTTGGTATTTGAGCAAGTTGTTGTGTTGACGATGCTTGTTTATCCATTATTTTTTCGATCGAATAAAATACTTTGTTATCAACATTTTCTAATTCAGTAGAATGTAAGCCATAAGTAGGTTTCTCGATAGATTTCTTCGCTATTATGGAATAAGGCGAAGAGATTGGTAAAACATATCTGGTTTCAATTAAAGGAAGAGGATTATTTTGAATGATCCTTTGAAAAAGATGATATTGAGATGGTTCCGATCTTTCTTCATGCATATTTACCAAATAATGATGATCACCACCTTCTTTATCTGATTTAAAATTATTTAATGTCTGATGTTTGTTCCCTCCACTTGCCGTCATTGATATTCCACTGAAGATATTTCCTGCATCCGTATATTGTTCGTATGATGTGGCATCTTGAGACTGGCCTGGCAATAGTAGGATTGGTATACCAATGTTATTGCCACTATTGCTAGTACTCTGTTGAGCTGGGAACGAATTAGATTCTACTCGTTTGTCGCTAGACAGATATAATCCCATGGAAATGTATGGAAAATTATTTTTCTTAACAACACCATCAGAGTTATCAACCACTAAATTATTTGGTTTTTCTTGAAAACTGATCGATTGGCGAGTTCGTGAAATTTTTTCTTCAATATTATCGTCGACGTTACTAATATAAAAATTTGAATTTATTGGTTGAACATCAAGATCAACCGACCGATGTTCTCCGCTTATACGAAATTCTTTCTGTATACCATCCAAATTGATCGCGTTGTTTACATTAGTTTTTTGAAATATATTCTCAACAGGACGAGAGATCAATGGCGACAGTTCCACTGGATAATGTATCTCTTGAACAGGAGCATTATGATAAATTTCGATTGATTTCTGAATTTCAACGGTGTCATCGGCCTTTTTTTTCTTCGTCGAGCCTTCGTCAAAAGTTGGCGATTCCGACTGCTTAGAAAATTGTTCGTGACTGATATTTATATTCGAACAGGCCTTTGTGGATTCGTTATTGCTCACAGCACCTTCTTCGTCAAGTGTATTCGCTTCGGTTTGTACGGTGCTCGAAGAGAAGACGCACTTAACGGATTGATTATTTTCGCTATTATCATCGATCAAAGTATTTTCTTTAGCATTTACAAGAGCTACACCAACGCGAAGAGGATTCAGAACAAGAGTCGATCCAATTACATCTTGTATTTCCGGATTGTCGCTTTTATCCGATGTCTTTTCTGATATTAACAGCGAACTTGAAGCTTTTAACTGTGGAAAATCCGGTACGATTATAGGACCAGAAAATTTTCTAAACGGCGATGATGCCATTGAAAGGCTATCGGATTCTTTAATGAAATCATTCTTCTCTGATTTGATCGTTGAGTCGATGCGATCATTACGATCGAATATTCTTTCCTCGTCGTTTAATCCACTTTGTTGGAAAGTCCTTTCATTTATTCCACTTGCTATCGTGCTCTCCTCGTTATTTCTTATTTGTATCATATTTCCAATAGAAATATTATCTTTCACCACATCTTTTGTTTTGCTTTTTTTTTTATCGATTTCACTTACATCTCTAGATGACGTCGTAAAAATCCTTTGTAAAATATCCGGCGAACCAGATTGATCGTTTGCTTCCTTGAGCCTACTGTGAGATATAGATATGTCATATTTGTCATATTTGATATTCGATAGCGGAACAGATCGACTTTTGTGTCCAAAGTTATCAGAATCTTGAAAAAAGTAGGATTCTTCGGAATCCGCGAGATCCACTATATTCGTATCGTTTGTTTCATTGTTCTTCACTATTGTCTGACGAAGGTGGACATCATCGAAGGTAGAAAATCGATCTGATGATTCATCTTGTTTGAATGTTATTATTTCGGTTGTACTTTCGTAAAGAGTTCCATTCTTCAAATATAATTTTTTTGAAAATGATGGGTCTATAATTTGCGGATACGCTTGAATTTCTACCAAATGTCCAGTCTGAAAAAGATATAATAAAAATATTTAATTATTATAAATAAATATTAATATATTTACATCTACGGAAATAATAAATAATAATAATTTAATGAAAACATCGATTTGTTCCATATCATATATCACATTTGTGTAATACGGTGGAAGGAAAGTTTAGAGAATCGTGCCAAGAGTCAACATGATTCGTTCGAAACCTGTTTAAGTGGAATATCTCTACAGTAGAGCAGTTCGAAATTAGCGCATCAGGCAGAGTCGCGATGAGAGAAAGGCGCAATTACGGTACCAGGATGGTCTCCCTTTCTCCTATACCGTTGGATGCAGAAGTGAAAAAAGGACTGCAGTGCGGGAAATGATGCGTTGTATTTTTCTGACTCATTTGAAAGAAAAACAAGTGAGAGTTGTATAAATTTGGTAGGTCGCGTAAAAGTAAAATGCATAAGAAATCATAACTTCCTAATGTATTGGAACGTAAAGAAAATAATACAAATTTTGCACGCTCTCTTCATATTACTTTTACGAACATCAAACTTGATGGTTTCTTTTTTTTTTTGACGATTAGAAAATTTCATAGAAACAATTTAATTTTAAATATACATACAAGAAGTATAATCGTAGCAAGATTTTTTATTATGCTTTTTTCTAAAAAATATTAGTAATAAAGTTGATTGTACTTACGTATTTATTAGCTATGTCATTCGCAGTGCAAAATTCCAAATTTCCGATAATACTCGACCAAATGGTAACAGCAAGCTGTAAATCAAATCAATCAAATAATTTTCATAAATTTTCGCTTCCTTTTTAATACGTCAAAGAAGAAATGTATATTCATGATATGATTTTCATACGCGATATAAAACTATTTCATAAGTGTACTTATGCATATGTTTGTGTACATAAGTATATACATACATACGATATATTAAAAATATTTTGCAATTAATTCTATATAATCATAAATAAATTTTTTTTTTATATTATTTCAACTCAATGAATTGCGGAAAAACTTACTATGCGGTATAGCATTTCTTCTAATTTAATACATGAAAAGTCAGCTATCACTTTGCGGTAATCCTACGATAAAGAAATTTTTTAGCGTTATGCGACTTTCTGCGACCGTTTTCTCATTAAGTCTCCAAATTCTTCACAGAATATCGACACAACTAACGCACTTTGAAATGACACAGTATACTACTTTGCTCTGCCGGGATGCACTTGACTTGACTTAAAAGTTCCAGTTATCCCCACGCGTTGAAAGTATTCGAAGAAAGCTACAGCCACATACAGAATCTGTCCAGCATCCAGTTTTCAATATACATACGTATGTCGGGTGCGACCGTCCGCGATTACTAAGAATTTGAGAGCAAGAAAGAGAACAACGCGATGATCCATAGGATTAAGATGAAAGTGGGCCGCTCATACGAAAAATTTCACATTTTGGATTATTTGTTTGTTTATTTTTTTTTTTATTATCCTCTTTTAATATATCGGAATAAAAATGTGCTAACACTTTGAATATTTCAGTTCAAAACTCGCTATACTTCCCAAGATACGGCTATTTAATGATAGGATTTTTTTTACTTCTCTTAAACTTCAGTTATCATTGAAAATTTATATTATATTTATAGAATCTCGCAAACAATTCCGTTTTTGCATCAAGATTTATAAAAAGTAATTATTATTATTATTATTATTATTATTATTATTATTTATTATAAATGTTATAACAAAATATTATGCTTCATAAGAAACAATACTTCGTACAAAAAAAAAAATAGAATATATTTTTTGAAATATTCTCCTCTGTCGATTAGAAATATAAAATATTAGTGTATGTTTCAACGTGCATATGAACGAATATAGTACTCTGAAATTTATCTACTGAAAATCGAAATTTTGAATGGGTTTCGTATGAATTTTTTACATTATAATGCAGTACATTGTTAATTATCATTTTTCACCATTATTTAACGTGTCCTTGTTGGTATCCTTCCTTGAATAACACGATTTTTGTTATTTAGCAATATGCAAATATTATTAACAATTTTGTAATTGTCTTGTTTGAACGTCGTTATAATGTTCATTTCTTTTTGACGATCGCTATATGTTTCTTTATTTTTTTCTTTACCTAATGTTTCGAACTTTATCATTAAATTTTATCTTTTGGTTTTAAAATCTTTTTTAAATTTTACATTTTACATGCATATATATACAATTTTTACATATTACATATGTACATGTGTTTGTGTATGTATATCTTTGTAGTATACACATTTCTTTAACAATAAAATAAAACGAACCTCACCAATCAATTTCATTCTATTAGAAGAAGGTTCTCTTTTTATCAATGGTATTGCTATTAAAAATATTCGTATATATTTAAAAGTGAAAATTAATCGGAAAATCTCTGGAAACATGAAAATGAGCTATGCATGATAATAAATATATTGCTTTTTTATTATTCGTGATCGTTATTAAGCTACGATCTTAATGAAGCAACAATGGGAAACTTTTTGTTGATATTCCATGTATCTTGAAAAAGTTGCCGCTTGTCGTCGAATGTTTCTTTCTATGTTCTGTTGTCGGGAAAAAAGGTCATAAAGAAACAGAAAAAAAAGAAAGAAACACGTAGCAATACATGACAACGAAAATAAATGTTTTTCCAGTCTGTATTTTTCGTAAATCGATTCACATAATACATTGTTGTTGTCGCAATGTGGTCCATGCATATATGTAAAACATTTGGTATAGTGACATAGAATAATTATATAATTATTAAATTAATTAAAGAGTACAGAAAGTACGGATGTTTATTGTGAAATCAGTGAAATCTCAACGTAAGTAAAATTGATTACGCTATATTATTTACTACTGGTTTATATATACATATGTAGGCCGTTACGGTAGAATAACTTGAAAGAAAAATTTTATTTTAAATAACCATATAATATGGTTATATACATATAAACGCGCGCACTCTCGTTCATACAAAGGGTACCAAAATATATATTCTCAATAATATTTATTTAAAAAATTAAAATACATATAAAAGATTCTTTGTCTTTTTGCTATTTTAGAAACTAAGAACTTCATATCTTTTATTTGTGATGCATCTGTCACGCTATCCTTCTAGTTACCTTTGGTGCTACGATCGCAATAGAAAGGGTGGATTCTAATGTAATAGATGAAAAAAGAAGAAAGTGAAAAAAGAGACGAAGTGAGCGATGAGCGATGCATAGTTCGTTTTACGTGCTAATACAAGTTCTTTCTTTTAAGCAGAAGCTACATAATTCTTGTCTATAGCCTATGTATTGCCATTGGTCAGTGAAAAAAAATTGAACTTTTTTTAGACCAATCACACATCGCACATATTCTCTCAGCCAATTGCGATCTTGTACTTTGTTATAACTCCGAAGAGTAAAAGCCATAATTGGTTAAGGGTAATATCAATTTTTTTTCTATGTTTGGTAACAGCAACAGGTCGCCAAGAGAAGCGCAACCAGTCCTTCAGCCATTGTAACATCGTCGCGCGGGTCGTGATTAGTCGATGAGTGCTTTGGTTCTTTCAAATTCATTTATACGAATTTCATCTGATTTCTAAATTAAGTTAGAGTAAGTATAAATATAATATGGCTGTTAAAAATTTAATTATTTCTATATTTTCGAATAGGAATTGGTATTAATATATGGTACATGTAGAAGAAACGGTTAAGAGAAAAAATAGTATCCAGTAACCGTTATGCCATAACGCTTTCAGCATTTCTTTGAAATGATCGCAACAATATGATGCGCAGTTAATCGAAGATATATAATATTTGTAATCCATTCTTCATTTTTAGTTAATATCAATTTAATGTTTCTTATAATATTATTTAATTTATTTATCAAATCAAATTTTGTATTGTGATCAATAATAATGTTCTTTGTTACACATCTTTTCAATAATATTGGAAAATGAAGGATATACGTAGTTAACGAAAGAATATAGATATATTCGATATTACCAAGAAAATACTTTTGTGCATATATTATAGTCACAATTTTAATTTTTATTTGACATTTTAGAATAATTTTCAGACCTTTTAAAAGTATCTTTCTAATTTTAATTGGACTATTATCTATTGGAGATCAGCATTGTATAAAATATGCCTGCTCCAGAAGCTGAACGTAATACCAGAATTGCTAATTTCAAATTCAATAATAAACATGAAGTAAGTTTAATGTATCATTCTTTAATTTTATATTTTTTACCATAAATTTCATAATGCTTAAAACATTATTTATAATATGTTTTAAGAATGCATATTATGGCACAATGAGTTTGTTTTGTTATATTCTTTTACAATTTGTAATTATAGGAGGCACGTAGAAGAAGAAGTGAAATGTCCGTAGAGTTACGCAAAGCACAGAAAGAAGATCAGTTATTAAAAAGACGTAATTTAAATATAATCGAAGATGCAGAACCATTATCACAAACTGAAAACAATGATATACTTCCTATCTCTACATCAATTGAAGAGATTGTTGGTGGTATGCATTCTTCTGATGAAACTATCCAACTTCAAGCAACACAGGCTTGTAGGAAGATGTTGAGCCGTGAAAAAAATCCACCAATAGACAATATGATACAGCAGGGAATAGTACCACGCTGTATTGAATTCTTGGACTCTCACCACAAGTATAGTGATAACTTTCTATATTATGTTACTTATAATAAAGTTCTGATGCAATTATTCAGGAATTGTATACTTTTTTAAGTTGTTTATATAATAATTATTAACTTATAGCAATGCACTTCAGTTTGAAGCAGCATGGGCTTTAACTAATGTAGCCTCAGGCACATCTGAACAGACACATGTTGTTGTGAAACATGGTGCTATTCCAAAATTAGTAGCTTTGCTAAAATCTTCTTCATTGAATGTTGCTGAGCAAGCTGTATGGGCATTGGGAAACATTGCTGGAGATGGGGCAATAGCTCGTGATCTTGTTCTTGGCCATGATGCAATGCCACTTTTATTGGATTTAATTAAGCCTGACACTCCTGTATGTATGACGTATTTTTTATAAATATTCTTAAAATATTTGTTAATTTTTTCAATTATCTATGAATGAAAGAATATATCTATAAATATATTGTTACAATTAAAATAATAGTACATTGATGTACAGAATTTCACTTACCAAATCATTATATTTTTCAGTCTCTTCTGGGATAATATTTTGATGATTCATATATCGCGTGTGTGTACGCTCAATTGGCGATAAATACATATAATATTTTTAATAATTATTCTTTTATCCATATCTTTGATTATTTTATACAATCTTAGTTTCATCCCATAATGGATAATTTAAATTCTACTGCAATATATTGTTTATATATTTTTTAATTAAACTTAACTATGTTTAACAAATATAGGTAACATTTGCCCGTAATATCGTTTGGACATTATCAAATTTGTGCCGAAATAAAAACCCACCACCACCGTTTGAAATTGTAAGAACTTCTCTACCAGTACTTAATCGATTGCTTAGCAATACTGATAAGGATATTTTAGGTATAAAAAAATAATTTTACATGATATAACAACTAAAAATGTAGAATATATTAATGTTTAAATATTATATAAATATTGCAGCTGATGCTTGTTGGGCACTGTCGTACCTTACTGATGGACCAAATGACAAAATACAAGTAGTAATTGAATCTGGTGTTATTCAAAAATTAGTAGAGTTACTTTCATCCAATGAAGTAACAGTTCTTACACCAGCACTACGAGCAGTTGGAAATATAGTTACAGGAAATGATGTACAAACGGACGCAATTATTTCTGCAGGTGGACTTCAACATCTTGGTGCATTATTACAACACAATCGCGTAAATATCGTTAAAGAAGCTGCTTGGACTATTAGTAATATTACTGCTGGAAATGTAGAACAAATTCAGCATGTTATACATGCTAATCTTTTACCACCTTTAATTCAAGTACTTGAATCTGTAAGTTGATGCCTTTATGAACAAATATTACATCTTCAAATCATTTAAAAAATTTTTTACTTATCACTTGTTTTACTTTTAATTTTAATAAAATTAATATATTTACAGGGTGACTATAAATCACAAAAAGAGGCAGCATGGGCTATAACTAATTTAACTTCAGGAGGTTCAGTTCAACAGTTAGCTCATTTAGTACAGATGGGTGTATTAACACCATTCTGCAATTTGCTCGTATCTAAAGATTGGAAGACTGTTCTTGTTGTTCTGGATGGTTTAACAAATATTTTGCAAGCAGCTGTAAAAATGGGTGAAGTAGAACGTGTTGCTATCATGATTGAAGAAGTTGGTGGACTTGACAAACTTGAATTTTTACAACAAAACGAAAATGAACAAGTATACCAAAAAGCCATAGCAATGATTGATACATTTTTCTCGGATGGCGTAAGTACTAATATGAAGATTTATTATATTACTTTCATAAAATCTATATTTACAATTAATTTCATATTTTATAAGATTAATGAATGTCATATATTAATAAAAATAGGATGCCGAGGTCGCTTCATCAACATTACCTGCAACACAAGATGGACAGTTACAGTTTACACCTGCTGATACCACACCGCAGCAAGGTTTTAACTTTTAAAATGTTTAATCATTTACATATTACAGCTCACAGCAAGTTATGATTCATTTGTAAATACTTCATAGTAACAGCAAAATATTAGCAATCTCATCACGCTAAACTAATACTTCGTATTTTGTGTTATCTTTTTATATTCTTAAACAGCGAAAATTATTTCGAAGAAGTGTTTTATTATCTTTTTTTATGGTAACAATTTACTATATTGTATTAATCTTTACTGAGAAAACTCATTTCAATTTGCAGTTTCGAATAGTATGCGAAATTGTGCTCTCTACGATCTCTATAATCTTTGGAATATATATGTTCCACATTTATTTGGAAAAAGAAATATAAATATCATAAAATATTAAAGTTAAGATAGGCTTTTGTTTAAAAATTAATTATTCAAATTATCTTGTGCATGTTGAGTTTTTTTGTCGTATTTTTTATTCCTTATATTTCCTTTTCATATTGTGACACAAAGACGTATGTTTGTCATTTATATTGAATCTAATTAATGATATAAATTTGTTTTTTATGTATTTTTTAATAAAATTCATGTGTATTTGATTCGCTTACGTACCTTGTTCTTATAACCTTGTGTATGTATAATGAAATATACCTTTCTTTTAAAGAGATTAAACGATCCATTGTATGTAATTGTATAATATAAGAAGAAATTCAGTACATGTCAAAAATCTGAAATATATTTTAATATAAAGTTTATTATAAATTATAGTGACTAGATATTTGAGTACATACTAGGCATACAATATTTATGTATAGGTATGTACTAAAACTAATATTGTTTAACGTGTTTACTAAACAAATAAGCACGTGGAAAGTGGATTAAGCTATCGTAGTAGAATAATTTAAATCTCACAAGAACTTCGTGAAGAAAAACCTATTGAATAATCTTAATATTGCCAAAACAATTAAAATTGTAAAGTAAAAAATAATACTTTCTGGTCATTTCTAGATCATCTATCCGTCCTTAATTCTATACATAATTTATGTTATAAATATATAAAATATTAATAGGCAAAAACATTGTAGTGAATCCATATAAAGCATATTAATGTACGCTATGTAAATAATTTTTTACTATCGGCCAAGAACGATGTCACTTTGATCATTCACTAGAAAATGATAGACAAATGCAGCTTTTTTCCTATCGAATGTAGCTTGTGTTGCACGACTTCTTTGTAGCCGGTCTTCTCTGCTTCTTGGTGGATCTCGTAAAAAGATTGATCCAAACAAAGTTGCTATGAAAAAACGATACATAATTTTTTGTTTATCATTAATTAAATTTTTTTACATTATTTAAATTTATATTACGTTTTTACATTATTTAAATTTATGAGAAATAAAAGACATATTTTAACTAACCAAGAGTTTTGGCATCCAATTCATTGTCTTGAGTATGATTTAGAAGTTCTTGTAAGAAAAAAATAATATACAAAAACACACTTCTCCTGGTTTCAGAAAGTTGCATAACAATCTACAATGAAAAATGAGATTCAATTACAAAAAATACATATTATATATATATTTCTAGTATATATTAATATAATTATATATATATATATATATATATATATATATGTTTTCCAAATTACTTGTTTGCATTGTAAATAGCTCGTTGCTGCTGTTAAACAGACACTATGCAGATTATATGGTATCAAAGGCTCTGCCGTCGATTCCAGTAGCAAAAGTAATGCCTCTGCTACAGAATGTACGCTACCAGCTTCATTCGATCGAACATGTTAAGAAATACTTAGTATTATATCTTTTGTATAAAAAAATAAAAAAATATACGTATTTTAAAGGATACGCATAGATTCTTGACTTCCATTATCCAACCAATCTCTTATGGCAATAATTTCACTATGAAGACCAGGTGTTTCAAAAAGGCCAGGAGTTTTTATACCATGACGATATAGTATATCAACTAATTGAAATATTTCTTTTGGTATTGCATACGGTTCTAGTGATAAATTTTTATTATTTTCCTACAATAAATATATATCATTTCAAAGTAATTGATACTTAAAAATTTTTTTATATATATTTATTAACTTAATTTAAAATATACTTACTAATTCTACCAATCGACCGGCTGTAACTTCTCCGATTGGTATTGGAATGTGAACTAATGCTTCCATTGATGATCCAAAACAACTTCTCTCATAAGTACCTTATAATAATTTATTATTATAAAAAAAATATTTGTTAAAAACTTGTTATAAATATTGATGATCTTTAATTTATGCTATTAATAGCTATTACATTTACATTTACCTGTAACTGTTATAAAAATATCCTTGCCTCCTTCAAGATGTAAAACTAATATATCATATAATTTATCCTCTCCAGAATTTAATTTGCATGCTGACTTCTTATCAACATATATTTCTAGTTTAATATCACATTTTTCACCTATAAAACAATATAACGTTTTATGATAAAAATATTAGTTTTATATTATAAAAAATGTTTACCTGGTTTTATAAAACCTGTATAGGGTTCTATATGCAACCAGTCTTTACAATAACTGGTATCATCTAATTTTTTTATGAATTCAAATTGAACTGGCACTTGTCCTGTATTAGCTATAATGAGATCCTTACTACTAGGCTCAAGAAACTTTAAAGTATCGAAAATCACTTCAGTTGTATCAACCATTACTTGAGGTAAAAATTCATTTTCTAGTTTATCTAATTTCTTCATAACTTCTTCATGGGTCTTACGATATTTTACCACATCAATAATTCTTATCTATAATAATCAAAGATAACAGTACTTAAAGCTACGTCCAATATAATATTTCAATATATCTCTATTTTTAGATATCTTACTTGAGAATCAAAAATAGCACTGACTGGTTTATGATCAGATATTTTTAATTCAGGATGACTTCTATATTCTAGTGACGTGATAGCTTCACCCTTCCATAAAATTCGATCACACCAAGCTGGTGCTCTACCTTTTTCACTATTTTTTAATTAGATATGAAAAGTAAAATACATTTATTTTAACGATATATATAAGCGAATTTGGTAATTATTTTAAAGAAAGATTTTTAAAATTTAATAAAACCTGGAATCCCAATTGTCAGTACCCGGATCATACTTATATGTCGGTTTAAATTTTATCTCAGCTTCCTGAAATTCTTGAAATACACGACCTAATCGTCTTTGTTGGCCTAATTGATCTAATGCTAAAATAGGAGCATAATATCCTATAAGAATATAGTGCTTGGCTATTGTTGCATCCATTTCTGTTATCCGATAATTAAGATCTCCCAACCAATAAATTTGACTATAAACAATCAAAATAAGAAATAAATGTGAAATAGTATCTTAAAATAAATTATATTAAATTATTACATTATATGCATATATTTGCTTACTCATGTTCTTTAAAGCTTTTAGGTGGCACATATTTTGAAAAAGAGAGCCTTGCACATATATCTGCATAATCTTGATTTCGTCGTTCATATTCTTCGCAATGAGCTGCTAAATGTGCATTAACAAAGCAAATAGATGTATTATGAATTGAACAGCTTACTGCTACACCACCTTTGTTTCCCTTTAATAATAATTTAAGGTAAACTATTTAAATAGACGATTATAAATATTAAAATAAAGCAAAAAAGATGTACCAGTTTACCCATAATTCCTGTACCCACTGTGTCAGTACAAACGTTTTGTATATATGGCATATGTACTTTTTGAGCAAATACAAGCAACATCATGCCTACTAGTCTTACAACAGCTACCGGACAATAAGTACCTTTAGGATGAAGAGATTTTGTTACAACTATTCTGTAAGAAAAATAATTAATTGCAAGTGAAATTGATTATAGCAAATATTTTTTACATGCTAACAACAAATTTTTACCTCCATTCTTCTTCTCGTGGTGTATCATTAAATAAAAATGCTTCTTTACTTAAATCTAATTCTTGAAATCCAATAGCATATACATCAGGAGGTACTTGGTCACTACTTAACCACTCTTCTAATTTGATTCCATTAGGTGGTTGTCCATTCACATTCCATGTTCCTATAAATATACTGTAACAAAAATATTATTCACATTAGAAATACAAAATTTATAATGATATATATAAAAAAATATATTTATAGAAGATAAAGTAACAAACCGAAAAGTCTTGCTGTATGTATAATCATCTTCTTTACATGCCATCTGATAACGCACTACAGATTCCCGTGCAGCAACTGGTGACTTTCCAGATGCTATGGTTTGTCTGGATACAACTAAATCAGGACTTTCTAATTCTACAAGCTGTAAAATAATTAAATTCAATCAACTTTCAAATAGATGATAAGATAATTAATAATAATGTTCGAAATTCTTACAGGATCAATCACATTTTGAGTTTCATTACTAGTACTATCTAAATTACTCATATATCCTGTTAATTTTTTTATCCATAAGTATTCTGCTGGTGAAATTTTTGATTTTTGGTAAACTAAAAAAGATATGGAATAGATTTTAATTATTAGACAATATTATCTTTCCAGAATATAAATAATACATTACCTTCTATAGCACGAAATATTTCAGAAACTAAAGAACTTGTTGATGTACCACGTTTCATTTCGAATATCAAACGAAGCTTTCTGAATGCTATGTTCAAATATACATATAAACCTTCTTGTTGCTTTCCACCAGTATCTAAATAATATGATATATATTTATTGTCTGTTTCTCTTAATAAATAATAGAAATAAATATAAAATATAATGAATCCCTGTACAATGTAGCAGATATGTTCCCTATTGTACAAACCATATGGAATATATTGATTATGAATGTAGAGTATCATTATATGAGTGTCAAATATAATTTAAAAAGTTTTCTATAACATGGAACATATTTCTTGCATTTTATAGGGACGGGAAAGAGAGTTTTATTATATTTATAATTACCTATATCACACTTAAAATCTTGATCAATAGGTAGTACTCTTTCTATAGTTAAATCACTATATACTTGCGGAGGTGTTCTAGATATAAGAAATACTACTAGAGCATATGTTGCTCCTTTATTAACTAAAGCTATTACACGTGTCGCTTTTACCCATCCTTGCATTAAAGATGCTTCCATCGCCTTTGAAACTAATTAAGGTTGTTTACACGTATGTATGAAATATATTTATCACTTTTAATATCAATTACTAAAATAAAATTTGCATTAATTCAAACAAAGGATACAATCACTACTATTTCACCAGAAATGAATTTGGATTGAATAATAGCCAATTGCTCTGATGAAGCCATGGTATTTGTTATAAATATAAATTGCAGATTATATGGCACTTGGTATATAATTTGTTAAATACAGATACAA